CACTATCTCATCTCTTTACTCAAATTTTATTAATTTTATATTCAATACACCCCATTATTTCAACCAAAAATACTCTATTTCTTTCTTTTACTCAACTTTTAATAATTTTATATTTAAAAACATATACAAAATGTCTCCAATACAGATGCTCTAACAAAAATTATTGAGTAATGAAGTATTCAATAAGTTTCAAAACAAAATAAACAAATAAAAAAATGAAGTATTCAATATATTTTGCACTATATAAATTTGTTCGTAAAAAGATGAAAATTGTCATTTACAGAAAGAGATTTCCATGAGTATTTTACACACACGCAATGAGAAAAACATCAACAGCTTAAAACATCTACGGATACTATGTCAAGATAGAAATTTTTTTGAGAAATTTTGAGAAATGCGACTATTAAAATGTCGCTTTTTAAAAATACTATATTTTCAAAACGTTTGAAAAAATATCACTTTTTTAAAATTATTTATTCATTATATCATTTATATTTGGGTTAACTATATTCTATTAGTGTTTAGTTTTGAAGGTTTATAGGATTTATTAGGGGTCAAAACATTTTTTTGGGTTTATAATTTTAAGATTTAGGTTTTAAAAATCTACAATTAGTGACACTTTTGCAAATGGACAACCTATTGTGACGTTTTTAAAAAATGATATACCAAAAAATAGCATTTTTGCAATTGTTTCTTATTTTTACATATACTATATTTTTTTTTTTGTTGGCTAACTTACGGATACTAAATATCAAGAATTTCTCTGTCAAAAACAAAATATCAAGAAATTCTTCTACGTAATCAGATTCTTCGACTGTGTCCTAATGTTTATTTATTTCAGTAACAAATCGGGCCAATCGAAGATTCTCAACATATTTTGAACTAGAATAATGCTGAGGTAATAATTAATTATAATGTTAAATAAATAAAATATGTCGTTTTCTAATTGCACCAGTGCAATTAATGATGCACTAACATACATAAATTAGAAACAGACATTGTGCTTTGACCTAAAATAAACAACTTAGAATTATAGCTCTTAAGTAGAAAAATCTATTTGACTTATAAATATAAGTTTTTATATTTGTTCGTAAGTTAAGTACGTGTACGGTGTACCATCAACTCCAATTACGTGGATTGTTGCAAGATTAGTAAATGTGACTCTAATTGATTACGAAGAATAATCAATCTGGCACAGCGTGTTTGTATATTGGTTGACTTATTGGCTGTAATCCTTAATGT